CAGAAATATCTAATTATTCATTCTCATAGCACTACGACTTTAATAACAAATTTCTCCACAAAACTCGTGGTTTAACATAAACTTAAAGTTAAGATACCTAACAAATACGAAAAATACATAACATAAACAAATTCTCATAATATCCAGTGCTACGTATTAGAGCGACTCCTAAGACTCGATCAAGCAACTCATACTCCAAGCACTAATAAGGTACCTGATTATCTGTACTCCCGGAGGAGCACATACACAACAATTTAAAAGGGGTGAGAATTACATTCAATAAATATACGGTGAGATATCACACGCTAAGGAGTAGTAATATCACACAATTCAAATAACTCACATTTCGCCCAAATACTCCGCAATACATTCATCATTCACATAACACAACATCAAATCAAAGATAATGCAATGCAATGCGACCGAAAACAACTCAAGGCATGTGGTACCAACAGGGCATAAGCCCTCATCATCATACTGAATAGGGCAGCAACATGGCATAAGCCCTCAACATAATGTCATTACAGGCCAACCACAAGGCATAAGCCCTCACCGACGTATGCATACAACACCAACATGCAACAACGTAAATATACAACCACATGGCATAAAGCCATAATATCTTGCCAATAGAGGCCACCAACAGAGCATCAGCCCTCACCATACATGTAACAATAACAATAGCAAATAGTAACAACATACTTGCATACATCCAATAATGCAACATCATCGTAACACACGTTATCAAACATTACAACAACATTTTAACAACACAGTGTCATAGTATCACAATCCAATAGGCATAATATCAATCCATCATGGACATCCAACAACAATAATATTACACAACATAATATCATAGTATCATAACATCACAGTAACTAAGCATATTAGCAATTCCTCATGTATATTCGATAACAACAACACTACAATAATATAACATCATGGCATCACAACAACTAAATATGTTATCAATTTATCATGTATATTCGATAGCAACAACATAACATCATAAGCAATTCATCCGTACATCATTCAGACAACAAGCAAAGTTAGGTCATCTCACTCAATGTCAACACCATACAAAATTCTAAGTAAGTCCTACGTTATCAACACAATTCCCATTATTACAAACCTCCATATATCCGTCTAAGTCATACTAGTCATTACAGACCAAAAGAAAGTACATTGCATGCGAAAACGAGAAAGAAATCGCGAAAACATAATTTTCTGCACATCAGCCTGCCCATACGCGTATGGCCCTACCCCATACGCGTATGGCCTCTTCCTGACCCATCACATACGCGTATCATACATGTTGGTCCCAATTTCCAGGACACATACACGTACCATACTCGTACCACCTGAGGCGATTCCCCCCCCCCCCCCTCAAAAAAAAACTTCTCTAAAGTCCACATGTATGTAATAACTAGTCCATGCATGTATGGCCTTCCCTCCATACGCGCATCATACGCGTAACGGTAGATGGCCGTACAGACTTGAGGACGGGGCGTGTATCATACACGTAAGGCCCCTGGGTGTGCCCTCTATACGCGTATGGCCAGTCTGCTACATCCAAAAATTATGCTTTCGTATCAATATGATTTCTGCTCTTTTTACACACTTCTAATCTACCAATTTGACCCAAAAAAATATTTTTACACATAACAACTCATAGTCCTAATACAATTTCACTCAACCATTATTCTATAACAACTTTCTGCATCAAAACCTCACTTTTCATCATCCCTCTCTAGATCTACACTTTCCATATAGAGATTTCATGGAACAACACCACAACATCACAGATTATCAACAACAATCATATCATGGACATCAAATTATTCATAACTCTACATATAATCATATAGGCATATAATCAATCAATAAAAGAAACCACAATACACCAAATCTACACAAAACCTTAAGAGGGAAAGGAACCCTCACTACCCTTTCATGTTGTAATCACCATTTAAAGAACTCATTCTCCCTCGTTACCTTAGTTTTGAGCTTTGATCTTTCAACAATGGTGGGATCCTCCTTGTCTCCCTTTTCTCCTAACTTCTCTTCTCTTCTCTTCTCTTCTCTTCTCTTCTCTTCTCTTCTTTTCACGTGAAAATAGTTTCTCCCAATTCCTTCTACCACTCTCCCAACTATTCCTTATTATTTCACAATAATAATAATAATAATAGTAATAATAGTTATAATAATAATAATAATAATAATAATAATATCCTTAATGGCAAATACACTATTTAACCAACAATAATATTTTTATTAATAATAATGAGATATTTCATCCTTCACCAGAATTATCATTACTATAATATTATTCAAAGCTTAATCCAATTATCGAATCATACTAAGTTCTCATACCCTCTTAGTCAAGCCAACATAGTTCTACAAATCCAATCATCAAATTATTAAATATTTAAATGGGGCGTTACATCGCTCACTGTTTATTGTGTTAAATATGTGATTTAATATAATTGCCAATATCGTGAGAATCTATAGGGTCACACACACAAAGACAAATTAATGAGAGATATACTAAATAAGGAACACTGTAATGTACAATGCACTTAAGTGAATTGTAGAACACTGTAAGGTACAATGCACTTAAGTGAATTGTAGAACACTGTAAGGTATGATGCACTTAAGTAGAATGCAAAATATGGTAAGGTACCATGCACTTAAGTGATATGCGATACATCATAAGATATGGTGCACGTGGACTTAAGTGGACTTTTTAGCTTGCAGCCCACACAAGTGGTTCTATAAATATAGCCCTTGTGCAGAAGCATTTTCACTTTATGCAAATTCTCTCTCACTCAAAGTTAGCATCTAACATTGAGATTGAAGTGGATTCTGTTCGTGTGGACTGGGTAGAGGCATTGTTCTTCATCGACGCTCATGATCACTCCTTCGATTTTGCATTAAAGGTTTTAATCGCCACAAGAGGTAACCATTTCTATAACTGATCATGCCCATTCATAAGGATTACTAAAGGAATTTTTTTGTTTTCTGTTGCATTTTCAATCGTGATTTTCCTTCAGAAACATTTTTCTATGTTACATGCATCACCTTTATTCGAACAGTTCTTTCCATTTTAGTCATTTACCAATGAATACTCTAACAAATGGATGTTAAGAATGTCTTCCTCAATTGAGAGTTAAAAGAAGAGGTTTGTATGCGTCCTTCTTAGATACATACTTGTCCTACAAATAAGGTGTATCGTCTTTTGTAATGCCTTACAAATAAGCACCTCGATATTGGTTTGCTAAATTTTATAATACTATCTCTTATATAGATTTTTCTTCTAGTGCTCATGATTATACTCTTTTTACTCGAAAACTAATAATTATATTATTGTTTTGCTTTTTTTATGTGAATGACATGATTATCATTGGTGACGACTCTATTGAAAATGAAGAGATCAAGTAGTTTCTTTGTCAACATTTTAAGATGAAGAATATTGTACAATTTAAGTTACTTTATAGGTCTGGAGTCTTATCTTTGAACAATTGATTATTTCTTCCACAAGATAAGTATGCCTTTGATCTTGTCTCTCAATCATATCTCACCGATTGTAAAATTGAACACACTTATCTTGAACCCATAGTTCAATTTACTTCTCAAGATGGTACTCTGCTCGAGGATACCACTCTTTATTGGAAACTCATAGGCAATTTGATTTGCCTAACAATTACTCGAATAAATATCTTATATTTTGTTCATCTGGTTACTGAATTCATGGTTTCCCCATGCACCATCCATTATGTTGTTTTCCTCTGGATTATTTGATATATCAAGGATACTCTATTTTATGGTCTTTATTACTCAGTTGCATCTCCGTTGATTCTTATAACTTACTCTTATGCTGATTGGGAAAACGACCCAAGTAATTGTCGCTTCATCACTTATTTATGTATTTTTCTTGAAGATTCTCTTTTTTTGGCATAGAAAGAAACAAACTTTGACAACACACTATAACATTGAAGCTGAATATCATACTTTTGCTAATACTACTCCCGAGATAACGTGGCTATGTTGGCTTCTTGTTGGTTTAGAAAAATCTCAATCTTCACACACTTATCTTTATTACGACAATCGTAGTGTCACTCAAATTGTCCATAATGATGTTTTCCACAAGCGAACAAAACATATTAAAATTGATTGTCATTTTATTCGTCAACATCTTCTTCATATTGAACTTCGTCTCATCTCCATTAGCATTCTTAACCAACCTATTGATTGTTTTATACAAAATCTCATTCCTCCACCGTTTCTCCATTTCAGTATCTAAACTCAAATAAGTTATACATCTCCACCACTTAAGTTTGAGTAGAGATATTATCATATCTTATAATTCTCCAGATTACATTTATTTACTATATATACAAACATATATTTAATATGATAAATTCTTTGATACCCATGATTTTAATTGAATACCTATCTTTAGTGCAATTTATGTTACAATTTTAATTTATTTAAAAATAAAATAAAATAGAAAGTTGACGTAACATTAAATTATAATTTTAATTGATTGAAGATATTGATATTCAATTAAATTCAAAAGTATTGAAGTGTTCATTATTTAATATATATATGCAAGTTAATCAAACTCTTATTTAAATTGCAAATATAATTATGATGTACTAGTATATATAAATATTCATAATATTATAAAAGTAATTAATACAAAATATAGAATATTAGATTTGAATACGGAGACTCCTATGTGTTTACGATTTTAACCGTACATAAAAGATTTTAGTGAAAGTGATTGGCACAAAACTAAAATGACTGTTTACCTTTTGCAAATACCAACCACTCTGATTTTGTATCATAAAATAAAGAAGAAGATAAAGGACAATTCGGTAAAACACAGGTACAGTCTCTGGTTGGTATTTTCTAGATTTCATCATCCAAAAAACCCTAACAAAGACGAAAACGTGAGGACGAGAATCTCAAAGTAACAATCGGAAGATCCTCCGATGGCGGAACTTCCGTCGGAAGTAATCACCGAAATCCTCTCTCGCGTTCCGGCCAAACCTCTCCTCCGTATCCGCGCCACCTGCAAGTGGTGGCGCTCCCTCATCGACAGCACCGACTTCGTTTTCTTCCACCTAACCAAATCTCGACACTCCATCGTCATTCTCCGGCAACACTCTCGTCTCTACGAACTCGATTTGAACTCCATGGATAGAGTCAAGGAACTCGACCATCCTCTCATGTGTTACAGTAACAGCATCAAGGTTTTAGGCTCCTGCAACGGCCTTCTCTGCATCTGCAACATCGCCGACGATATCGCTTTCTGGAATCCGTCAATCCGTAAGCATCGGATTATTCCATCGGAACCGCTCATCCGGAAAGAAACGAAGGAAAACACCGCGATAACTACTTTATTGGCTGCTCGTGTTTACGGATTCGGTTACGATTCGTTCTCCGGCGAGTTTAAATTGGTTAGCATTTCGTATTTTGTCGATCTTCGTAACCGTAGTTTTGATTCGCATGTTAAGATTTATACTATGAGGACTGATGTTTGGAAAACCCTAACGAGTATGCCTTATGCTCTGTGCTGTGCTAGAACCATGGGGGTTTATCTTTCCGGTGCGTTGCACTGGGTTGTGACTCGAGATCTTGAACCGGAGTCACTTGATTTGATTGTTGCGTTTGATTTAAGGTTTGAGGTTTTTCGGGAAGTGAAGCTTCCGGGGAGTGTGGATGGGAAATTGGATATGGATGTGGCAGTGTTGAGAGGAATGCTTTGTATGGTTGAGAATAGAGCGAGTGAAGGTTTTGATGTTTGGGTTATGAGAGAGTATGGATTAGGTGAATCGTGGTGTAAAGTGTTTACGGTGGAACAACCGCGTGATGTTAAGTTGATAAAATTGTTGAAGCCTTTGGGTTATTCGAAAAATGGGGATAAGGTTTTGTTTGAACAAGATAGTAAGAAGCTATGTTGGTATAACCTTGCTAGTAAAGATTTGAGTTGGGTTAGAATTTCAGGAATGCCTAATAACATTGAAGGAACTGTTTGTATTGGAAGTCTTGTTCCGCCTAGTTTGCAGAGGCGAATTGTTGAACGCAAAAAACCGAAATCTGTGGATGAAAATAATAAGAAAAGGTAATAAAACAGTGCTGAATTTGACAATTCCCTTTTTTGTCATATGAAAGAAAGTTGTGTTTGTCTGAACTCTTAACTTTGTATTTAAAAAACAGCGTAATTTGTTATGTTTGTGTGATTCTGTCATTTTGTGAGTTGACCTTGACTTGAACAAGTTGTTTCTAGTTCCCTTTGTAGGACAATGATTGAGAAAGAAAAGTATACTAGAAGGGCCCCATTTTTAAATTTTGATGGATTAATATTTAAGTTCTCATTTTCAGAATTAATTTTTCAAAAATGGAATGTGTATCTATGAAGCACATACACCGGTAACATGTCACGTGTCGGTGTTGGTTTTGAACACCGACACAGAAACAGTTCTTTTTAGAGGTGTTGGTGCTACAAAGATGTGTATTGTATTAAGGTCAGACTCAGTCCAGAGTTTTAAAACATGCATATTTTTTATTATAAAAAGATACTCATATTATCTACTGAGATCTATGGGTTCTTATTCTAAATTCCCATCTGAACCAGCTGGCTAATATTTTTAAACTACAGTTTTTTAAATAAATGGTCCTCATGTATGATCTGTCTTGATTGTTATGCATCTTTGTTTTTTTTTACAGGGATGACTTCCTGTCCAAGGGATTCAAATTAACGCTGTAAGCAAGCACAAAAATAGAGAATAGTATACAGCTGAAATTGGTGAACTAACTAATTCATGAGTTATATCTTGTTGACGGGTACTGAAACTCGCCTTTGCTTTTGGGGAAGAGTTGGAATAATCAGTAAAGAAAGCCCTTTCTTATTTTTTAATTGTTTATGACCTCTCTTTCCCTCCCCTGTATTGCCATGATTCTGCTCCTTTTGTTTTCTCAGGATTGAACAGGAAACAAGGTGCTCGAGTTTGCACAACATTCATCATGACAATGACTGAAACATATGAAGGGTAAGTCCAGCAGTTTGTAGTAGGACTGCCTATACACTTCCTTCCCCTTTCTATCTCTTTTGTTGTAATAAATTGTAATACTCCTCCTGATGTTGAAACTTTTAGCCACCTCATGGGATGGTCGCTCTATGTATTTTGCTGTCTGCATTGCAGTCACACTTGTACAGGTTGTTGTAATATGTAAACTTAAATACAGTTTTTTTCGTTCTTCTTTGATAAACTCAAATACAGTTACTTGAATGGTTTGTTTGTCAGAAGCAAGTCAGTTCTGATCAAGGAGAAACATAGTTTTTGGTTGGTACTCTAATTAGTTTCAGGAAGAAAACTATTTATAATGAGTAAACTAATGATGTTGACTATGTTTAGGATTGTTGAATTGTATGAAGTAGAATGAACTGGAATACGAAATGATGAAATGAACATCGAGCTGTTCAACACAATTTTTGTGAGATTATAATTGTAAGACAATCCTCTTGTAAGTTGTAGTTGTTAAAACTTTGATGGTTTGGAAGTATCTGTCAATATTCTGAGATTTAAAACCTGACTGACTCAGGTGAGATTTTGGGACTCCACTAGCTTAAATTTGAAAGAAAAGAAAAAGATGATTTTAGTAATAATTCAAAACTTTTCACATTAGAAGTGTGTTTTTTTTTTTAGTTTGTAGATATAACTGAAATTCACACACAAAAACTGAGGTAAACGGGTTGAATGAGTCTGATAATATTGGTATTTATTAGTTAAGTTTGATCATTTGGATTGTTCTTCATCTCCTTGCATGGTAATGTTTTGTTCCATGTTCTTGGCGTGCTCTCTCTGATTTTCTGTTTATATGATCTCTCTTCTTCATGTTTGCTGCGATAGCTTTTTTTCTTCTTTTCTTCTCAGGCTGTTCAATGCTCTCGGTGTGCTCTCTGATTTTCTGTCTTTATGGTCTCTCTTCTTCATGTTTGCTGCAATAGCTTTTCTTCTTCTTTTCTTCTCAGGGTCTTGGTTGAACGACTTATGGTAGATCATTGGCTTTCAATGTTTATGGCTTTAATGGTATATTTGGATTAATGGAATGGAATGATATAAATTTATGTTCTACTATTTATGGTAGATCCTTGGCTTTCAATGTTAATGGCCTTAATGGTATGTTTGGATTAATGGAATGGAATGATATAAACTTATGTTCTTTTGTTTGGATTTGTTAAAAATGAATGTAATGGAGCGGAATGTAATTGAATGTATTTCATTTCCTTCCATTATTTTACATAACTTTTTGAATTATTCGATTTAGACGGAATGATAAAATTACTTTATCGCATTATGAAATATCCAAATAATAGAATGACATTTTTATTCTATTCCGTTCTGCTCCGTTCTATTCAGTTCCGTTCGTTTTATCGTATTTAAATATAGCCTAAATGTTCAAGCTCCTTCTAAATTCAATATCTAGATATTTCTTTTGACTCCACCGTAGACAATTTGGTACACAATTAGAACCTTCGTCAAATTGATATTCATCTGAGAATCAGAAATGAATGGTGATATGGTAAGTGATACTCTCTTCATTTTAAAATGAATGTCATTTAATATTTTTGCGCACAGATTAAAGAATGTAATTATATTGTCACGAGACATTGCACTTTTATAATTTAGTCTTATTAATTTATTGGAAGTAGTGTGCAGAGTAATAATTATATGATACAATTAAAAAAATAACTATCATTACTACATTGAAAAACAAGAATGACATTTATTTTGAAATAAATTATTTTCTTTAAAACGATATTCATTTTGAAATGAATGGAATATCTTGAATTGATAGAGCAGATTCCGGTACTGTTCTAAAAGGTCTAAAATTAAAATTTTTAATCACTTAGTGGATGAAATTGGAAAAAAATAGTTGCTTTTTCCCTGCCTAATAATATTTGTTCATGGATTGTGAGTCTCATTTCTAGATTATAGTGAGGTGAGAATATTTTAAATAATAAGATTCACTTGCTCAAGAAGAAGCATCAACATTCTATGTCTGAGGAGGGCATGTGATTCTGAAGTTTGAAAACCTTTTAATAATGCCTTATTGGTTAAACATGTTTGGAAACTCCATACTAATTTTAATTTTCAGATGGATAGATGTCTCAAACTTATATAATTTAAGAAATTTTTTATGTGGGGGTCTAGCGGGTTCATGAAGTTTTCGTTAAAGACGATATTTGAGAAATAGTAAATTTAATTTCTAAGTGAAAATAATGTTGATCATACCATTATTACTTCCAGGTCAAAATCGAATTATCGATTTGCTAAACAGATTGGACACCAATCGTGAAAAGGAAAAGAAAAAGAAAGAAAGAATCGTGAAAAAGAAAGAAAGAAATTCTCTATGTTAAGTAATTGAAGTCCGACAGATGTCTCAAATTTTTATTAGTAATATTAGTTATTTATTAGTAATGCATGTATCTATTTTGTAGATTTTTAATAGATTTAGAAAAAGACCGATTTAAGTCTAAATCATCTTTATGAAAATATTTTTTCATAATACTAAATTTGGAACGATTTCCATTCTTTTTCTAATAAAAATATTTGTTTTTAGATTTAATTGTATTCTTTAAAAATATTAAGATTTGCGATTTAATTGTGTTCTTTATTTTTTTTTTAGTTTACATTGTTAATGAAAAATACAAGTTAATTATTTTAATGAAAAATACAAGTTAATTATGAAACAGTCTAGGTGTCTGATGTGAATGTTTAAGATCTATGAAAGTTCGCTCCATATTCATAACAACTAAAGATAAAGATAAAAAATGTAAGCATAAGACCCTTTCTTTGTTTACACCACATATAATGCTATGGATTAAAAAAATATATGCTTGTAATCACTTGATTTTTTAGGAGTTAGATAGTTATAAGAAAGCAAAATATTACGTATAACATACTTATACTTTTGATGTTGCTTTATAATAACAACGATTTAAATTTGAGTGGTGGTCTTAAGATCAATTGTAGTGAAAAAAGACTATAAAAGAAGATAATGTTGAAAATAGGCACCAACCTATTTGAAAAAAGGACAAAAATATTGTTTCAAAAAAACTAAAACTAAAATAAAATGAATGGGTACCAAAAACATTGTCTCAAATAGTTGAGTATTCATCACTTAAACGGTTGAATGTGGAAAAAGAAACAAATAGTCAAAATAGACTAATGAAGGACTTTAGTGTTTAACTCCAAAAATTAATTCACTCGGTCTAAATTTATCTTACCTTTACTCAAATCACATTACAAATCTTAAGATTTATAAAATGTGTGTATGATGTAAGACATGATATAAAACTTGAGGATTCAAGGCATTAAGTCCTGTGGTAGGTACATATGAGGTTTGGATAAGCTTTTGAGGAAACTGAGTCTGGTGAGTTTGTGAGGTAGTGGCCGAGTGATTTTCACTTTGGAAACCATTTTTGGTAGAGAATTTATTTTCATTGAACACCACATCTTTGAAAATGAAAATTCTTTCGTCCATATTCACACATTTCCTCCATATTCATAAATTTATGACCCTTATGTGTTAGAGACACTCTTAAGTATACACACCTAGTGTTTATGAACTCTAATTTGTGTTTGTTGTAATGTCTCAAATGTGGAAAGCATACACACTCAAAGATTTTCAATGAGTGCTAATCAGGTTTATTTGTTGTGGACAATAGAGAAATGAGACACATAGTCAGATAAACCATTTGTAGGAAGCCTGTTGAGCAAGTAAACTGTTGTGGTGAAATTGTGATTCCAAAATTTGAGAGGTAGAGTAGCATGGTCAAGAAGTGTTAGTTCCATTTCAAATATCTGAATATGCTTTCTCTTAATTGTATCATTTTGATGAGAAGTGTGAGGGCGTGTTAACCTATGCAAAATGTCTTATTCCTGAAATAATTTGATGAAGGGCCTGAATTATCACTACAAGAATAATGTGATTCAGCTTGGGGCAAATGGCTAGGGGTTAAGCCCCTAGCTAAATTTAACATTAGTTTGGGGTTATCCCCTGGCTAAATAATATACAGATTTTTTTTTAAAAATTTGAAGTTCCCCGTAGCTAAATTTTAGGAGGGAGATTGAAAATAAATTCGTTGGTCATTTGCGAGGGGGTGACACGTGGGTAAAAGAAAAACCATTTAGCGAGGGGCTAGCACCTCGCCAATAAAAATAGTTGTTGGCCATTTGCGAGGGGCCATCACCTCGCCAACAAATAAGTTATTTTACGAGGGGCTATTCCCAAGTCCATTTTTACATCACTGCTACGCCTGAGCCATCTCTGAACCAGCTTGCGTGTGGCAGAGAAACAACATTTAGTGTCATCTAGCGAGGAGTTAGCCCCAAGCTAAATATGGTACCGTTTGACACTTAGCGAGGGGCTAACCCCAAGCAAAATTTCACACCGTTTGCACTCTACATCTTCGTCTTTCTCTTCCATTTGTTTCATAAACCAGCAAAATTACCAGCAAAATTTTAGATTCTCTCTTCTCTGTAACTCTCATCCTCCTCTTTTCCTTCTTTTTTTTTCCTCCATCAACAAGCTTTGTTTAATAAAGCTTCAAGGTATGTAATTTATTTAATTTTTTTATTGAAATTTTTCTGAATTATATGTTATATTTAGGTAAATTAAATTGGTTTAGATATATATTAGATTTAGTTGATATAATTATATATGTTAGATTTAGTTTTTGAACCAAAATGATGTATATTA